AGGAGAGGAAGTGGAAAGAAAGATCTGCAAGAATTAACTGAGGGTAAGAGAAAATAGGGTTTTAGCTGGAGTGGAAGGTGTTTAGTGGAAGTGGAGTGAGAAGAGCCATTGAGCTGAAGGAGTGAGTCTGTGAGAAAGAAGGGCTCTGGAGATTTCAGGGCAGAGAGGTTAGGATCAGCACAGCGGCAGGGATTACCCTGCATACTGAAAGGTATAGCTATAGGAAAGGGCAGAGGAAGCTGGAGGTCCGAGCTGAGGAGATTTGACATCGTTGGTTGGGGATGTGCAAGAGTGCGTTGACCCAGAGGTGGTTTTACAAGGTGTGGCAGAGGTAGCCAAGTGTGCAGCAAAGAAATTAGCCTCAGGGCTCATTCAGGGACTTGTAGGATGGGGGGCGGGGGCAGAGGCAGGTGGAATCCCAGGCTACATCTAATGTAGGGTTAAGGAGGCCTCACAGATGGTGAAGAAAGGAAAGATTGTTCAAAAACAGTGCTTAGAGACAAACTAACCTTTTGATAATCTGTTTAGACTTTCAGCTCACACCAGAAATGTCAAGTGAATTAAAGGAGCTCACTTTTTAAAATCAAAAATATAGAAGGACATATGGGTGAATTTTTATCTGATCACATACATATAAGCAGTAGGAATCATCAAGGAAAGGAAAACTTCTGTGACCCTTGACCTCTAAAAATTAACCACTCTGTTCTGACACGTGCTCTACTGCGTATGAACCTTGAAGATGTTATGCCAAGTGCAAAACATAAGCCAAATGCAACAGGACAAATACTGTTTGATACCATTTATGTGAAGTACCAGGAATAGGCAAATTCCTAGAGACAGAAAGTAGAAAAGAAATTACCAGGGGCTGAGAGGAGGAAGGCTTGAGGAGTAATTGTTTAATGTGAAAGGAGTTTGTGTTTGGGGTAATGAAAAAGTTCTGGAAATAGTGGTAGAGGTTGTACAACATTATGAATTTACTTACTACCACTGGATTTTATACTTAAAAATGGTTACAGTGGTAAAGTTTATACCTTACCACAATAAAAAATGTAAACACTTTGATAATTCTGGAATATACCATAAAAAACTGAAAGTGAACTAGAGAGACGATTGTGTTTTTTTTTTTTTAATATATGAAGAGTTCGTATAAGTTTTTTAAAAAGCAAAAAGATTGCAGTTTAAAAAGGCAGGAATAGTTCATTCACAAAAGGAATTAAAGATGGGCAAAATAATGCATTAAGCTCAGCCTCATTAATAGAAGAAAATGAAGTTAAATTAGTATTGTGTTCATTTTTCAGACATTAAAATTAAAAATGATGAATCAGGGGACACCTAGGTGGCTTAGCGGTTGAGCCTTCGGCTCAGGGTGTGATCCTACAGTCTAGGGATCGAGTCCCACATCGGGCTCCCTGCATGGAGCCTGCTTCTCCCTCTGCCCATGTCTCTGCCTCTCTCTCTCTGTGTCTCTCCTGAATAAATAAATAAAATCTTTAAAAAAATTAAAAAACTGATGAATCAGTCATACTGCTTGGTCAACTGAGTTATTTTTCTGGATAGTAAGTTAACAACCTAGCTTTTCAAATGTTCCCACATCTCCCCTTCAGTAATTCTACTCCTAGGAATTCATCCTAAAAGAAAAAACGATGAAATGTGGACAGGTAACAGTCACCATATAACAGGTATTACAAATAGCTCAAATACTCAGTGTTAGGGGATGAATTACAGAATTACAATATATCTATCCCATATATCATGTACTCATTTTAAATGTTTATGGAGTGTTTTTGATGCCAAGGTTACTTAGAGTGGATAAAATAAAAGAAGAAATAATTTGTATATATAATGTGTGTTAATTGTAGAGGAGTCACAACATTTGTGTTCTTCACTTTTGCAGTCAACTGTTTGCTCATCAGAGAGAGAGAGACTGAGAAGGAGCAAGATGGCTTTAATTGTGAGACAACTCACTGAGCACATAATAGTTCACCCTGAAGTAAGCAGGAAATGTGAGACGGCCTGCTTTACCCTCAGATTCATTGGGCAGGAATGTCTTGGTGTGGTCAGCATGGTGCTAATGTTTAATCTGTCATTTTGTATAGTACAACCCCCTCACTAAACCAAATATTTCATCTGGTGCTTGGCCAAACACCAGAATTTTCTAGTGCAGGAGGAACCCCTTGCTATACTGGACTTATAAGAAGACATGTCTGTATTTAGTATGGTTTCTGCTTAAGATATTTTTGAGAAAAATTCTGAGTCTTCACAAGTTCAAATTGTAGGATGAGCTTAGACCCTAATTCTCATATACAAGGTAGCTTTGCTTTATGTATTTAAAAATCATAACAAAGGGGACAAGAATCAGAAAAAAACAGATGTGTCAATTATGAACAGTTGTGAAGGACTTTCCCACACCTTAGTCTTTTTGCAAATTCCCTTTGGTGAGAACATCTTGCTTTTATAAGCAATTACTTGGGACAACTAAAGCATTTAAAATAGTTTTCATGGGCAGCCCGGGTGGCTCAGCGGTTTACTGCCACCTTCAGCCCAGGGCGTGATCCTGGAGACCCGGGATCGAGTCCCACGTCTGACTCCCTGCGTGGAGCCTGCTTCTCCCTCTGCCTGTGTCTCTGCCTCTCTCTCTGTGTGTCTCTCATGAATAAATAAAATCTTAAAAATTAGTTTTCACAATTTTCACTTATTCTTTGTAGATAATGCACTTCTGTCTAAAATACAATTTAAAGTCCTATTACTATAAGAATTTTAGCTCCAGGTGTTTGCTAGCAATGGCTACTATTTATTGAGTGCTTACTATGTACCAGGCTCTGTGCAAAAGTACTGGACTCACAGTATCTCTGTATACTGTAAAAGTTTATGTACTTTGTTTCCCTTTTACAGTTGGTACTATTAGTAGTTGTACTTATTGAACATTTACTGTGAGGCACTGTTCTAATCACTACTTGTTTACTTACTTAATCTGAGGCTAAGTAACTGTCCCAACAAGATGACCCCATAAATTAGAACGAGGACTGAGCTCGGACATTGTGGCCACAGAGCCAGTGCTTCTTCCAGCATGTGGTACAGATGTGAGGCCCAAGACTGGGTGGGACTCCAGATTAGATCTGCTTGTACCCATCCTTACTATGTAGTATATCTCCTGCTTCCTGTTAAAATCCATGATCCTCTTAGAAATTTTTTTTTCTCTTAGAAATTTTTAAATAGCTTAATATTTACATTTTGGTTGTTTGGAGTCATCTAAAGGAAACTGGTAATAGGAATTATATGAAAAATACTCTGGTTGAACCATGAGAAGTAAAACAAACTATGCTTATAATTATTTGGGACACCATGGCACTCACAATGAGCTATTATCACAAATGGTAAACCAAACTGAGAACATGGTTGCTTGTTATTTTTCCTTAGAGAATAGTGATTTATTTGCCTTAGTTAGGACAGGCTTGAAAGTGAAAAGTCCTTGGCATGTATGGCAATGGCATTATTAAGGGTAGGGGTTGGATTATGGCTTTTTTCAACTTTCCTTCAAACCTATAAATAGGAAAGGAAGGTTATTAACTAGCTAAGTAAGTAGTTCATGCTTTTGTGGCAGGGATGTGACACTTAACCCTCTAAGGTACTGAAAGTTAAGATGCGCCTTGGGTGGCTCAGTCGGTTAAGAGTCTGCCTTCAGCTCAGGTCATGATCTCAGGGTCCTTGGATGGAGCCTGTGTTTGGTGGGAAGGTGTCCCTGCTTAGCGGAGTGTCTGCTTCTTCCTCTTTCTCTGCCATTCCTCCCCTCCCTGCCTTGTACATGCTCTCTCTCAAATAAATAAAATCTTAAAAAAAAAAGTTAAGACAGCAAACTAGACATGTTTACATTACGCTGATAAGGAAATCGTGCCAAAGTCCATATGCATTAAGCACAGTATAGCCATCTCTAGGGACCTAAGGCTGTCAAGTGGGGACAGCTGGTTAGACTGCTGTAAAGAAGTACGGTCCCTATTCCACTTAATTTGATTGCCCGTTGCTCCTCTGGGGCAATTACGTAGCATTCCTCACTTTATCTGGCTAGGACTTTAATTTTGGATTTATAAAAAGGATTTTCACATAATTCTCATAAAATAAGTTTATACTTTATATATTTAGAGTTTATACTTTTATCATTATTATTACTATTATTAAAATGTTAATTTTAGGGATCCCTGGGTGGCGCAGCGGTTTGGCGCCTGCCTTTGGCCCAGGGCGCGATCCTGGAGACCCGGGATCGAGTCCCACGTCGGGCTCTCGGTGCATGGAGCCTGCTTCTCCCTCTGCTTGTGTCTCTGCCTCTCTCTCTCTCTCTCTGTGACTATCATAAATAAATAAAAAAATAAAATAAAATAAAATGTTAATTTTAAATAAATTGACTGGGTATTAATCATTCAGCAGAAATATTTACTCTAAAATATAAAATTAGAGATGACTCCCCAATAAGTATTTGCTCTAGCTAAATGTTAGGAAAAAAGAAAACCCTGTGTGTGTGTGTGTGTGTGTGTGTGTGTGTGTGTGTGTGTGTGAAAAGTAAAATATGTCTCCTAAAGAAAAACAACAGTTGTGGGAAAGGGAATTTGTGTCAGAATAACATTTGAGGTCTTTGAATCCTTGAACTCTATGGACTTGCTACTGAGCTATAAAATGGAAATTATTCACAAGGTTGTGGCAAAGCTCAACATAGACAATGTGTTTGTAACAAATGTCTTAAGTTGTGAAGAGGTGTATTAGTTACTTTATAAATTACTTAAGAGGATATATATAATATTTCACAGAAAGTTTGAGGCTAACTTTGGCAAAATTCAGTTTTTCTAAGTTAAATCTGTGTTATTTCTGTGCTTATTGCTTAGAGCCCAAATATGTGGTTGTATTCTGAAAGTCAGAACCCCTTATATTAAAACCTGTGTTTTTTTTGTTACAGGTATGATGAGTACATTCTGAGTCCCAGGATAGTGGGAAGCCACCAATGGAGTGCAAGCATGCTATGGAAATTGCTGATAAGATCCCAGCTGTGCAGGCTGTGTTCCTTCAGAAAGATGCTGTCGGCTTCAAAATACAGACCCTCTTTAGCGTCCTTCACCTATACAACTGATCATCAGTCAAACAAAGAAAATAAAAGAACAGTGGAAAAACTCTATAAATTTTCAGTTGACATCAGGAAAATTCGCAGATTAAAAGGCTGGGTCCTTTTTGAAGATGAAACCTATGTTGAAGAAGTTGCAAATGTTTTACAACAACTAGGTGCCGATGAAGCTACTGTTGCCAGTATTTTGGAACGCTGCCCAGAAGCAATTGTCTGCAGTCCAACCACTGTTAACACTCAGAGAGAACTCTGGCAGTTGGTCTGCAAAAACGAGCAAGAGTTAGTTAAGTTAATAGAACAGTTTCCAGAATCTTTCTTTACTATTAAAGACCAGGAAACCCAGAAGCTGAACATTCAGTTCTTTCAAGAGTTGGGACTCAAAAATGTGGTCATTGGCAGATTTTTGACAACTGCATCTAATATTTTTCATAACCCTATTGAGAAAAATAGGCAAATGATAAGTATTCTCCAAGAGAGTTACCTAAATTTGGGTGGCTCTGAGGCCAACATGAAAGTTTGGTTACTGAAATTATTAAGCCAGAATCCATTTATATTGCTAAATTCTTCTGCAGCTATAAAGAAAACACTAGAATTTCTCCAGGAGCAACGTTTCACAAACTTTGAAATTCTCCAGCTTTTATCCAAACTCAAAGGATTTCTTTTTCAACTTTGCCCAGGAAATATACAGAATAGCATTTCCTTCTCTAAAAATGCCTTTAAATGCACAGATCATGACCTGAAGCAATTAGTTTTGAAATGTCCTGCCATTTTATATTACTCTGTTCCAGTTTTGGAAGAGAGAATTCAGGGATTACTGAAAGAAGGGATTTCCATAGCTCAGATAAAAGAGACTCCCATGGTTCTTGAATTAACACCACAGATAGTGCAGTACAGGATAAGGAAACTGAATTCCCTAGGCTACAGAATAAAAGATGGACATCTAGCAAATTTAAATGGAACAAAAAAAGAGTTTGAGGCTAACTTTGGCAAAATTCAGGCCAAAAAAGGAAGGCCGTTATTTAACCCTGTGGCACCATTAAATGTTGAAGAGTAACTTGGGGACTGCTGCTGCTTTATAGTATCGCAGAGTAGTGAAGCTGAGTAGCAAAGACTTAAGTGATTCAGGCAGTTTATAGGCACTACTACTTTTAAGAAACTACTAACCTTTTGAGTTGTGTCTAAGTTAATTCCAAAGTAGACAATCTGACTCCTTTGCTATATTTTAAACTATAAACTGCATTTATTTTAAATAAATTTGGTAAATAAAGTTGGTAATTTTGATTTTGAGCTATTTTTAAAAACTCCTATACTAGTAAGTGGCACATCAGAATGATAACTTTATCAGAGAATCCTTTCTAAGAAATTGCCAGGTGCACTCCCTTAATGCAGAGTATGGATACGTTTTTATTTGTGTAGCACATTTCGTCTGGGACATAGATCCAGTCTTCTTCCTCACCACCAGCTCTGAAACATCACTCTGCTGTGGTCTGAATCCGGTGTGTCTTAGTGTTAAGTGAAATTAGCAAACTTCTAATATTTTTTTTTTTCGAGAAAGCTGATTTTATCTCTTGGTTGTGATAAAGGAGTGCCTTTGAGAACCAACTATTTCTCATCCAAAAAAGAATAGAGCTTACTTGTGTGGTTTGTTTAAAACTGACCATCTCCTCTCATAGAACTCCTTTATGTGCACTGATTACTTTCCCCATTTTATAGATGAGGAAACAAGCTTAGAGAGGCCTGCCAAGTGATAGAGCCCAGATTTATTGTGATCTGACTTCTGTTCAAACCTGTGAATAGAAAAAGGATTGCTTAAGAATTGGCATTAATTAAGAAAAGTTATACCCTGGGGTGCCTGGACGGCTCAGGAGGTTGACCTCAACTCTTGGATTCAGGTCGGCTCCTGATCTCATGGCTCCGTGCTCAGCGGGAGTCTGCTTGGATATTCCCTCCCTCTGCCCCTTCCTCCTCTCTTGCTTGCTTTCTCTCAAGTAAATGAATCTTTTTAAAAAAAAAAAAAAAGCCACACCCTTACATGACATGCCAAAGGAGTATCAGCTACAAACTTAGGGATTTTTATGCAAAATTCCTTAAATATGAAATGATCTAACTTACATACATTTGAAGTAAGCAGTATTTTAGAAAACTGAAAATCCAGGTCTGGCTCTGAAAGGGAAAGTGTGTGATGGTACTGATTTTAGTAGCATTCCAAGTTTCTATTTCTAAATCTTGTTCCAAGATAAACATTACCCAGATAAAGACTGGCTCACTTCCAGCTGTGCAGTTTGAACTCTGTAACAAATATACAGTTGACCTTAACACTCCAGTATCTGTGTCCTGTGTGTGCATGGTCTTAAATAATGAAAGACCTTTATTCATTAAGCAAATGCAAGTAATTCTCACTATCCACATCTGTTAGGTTCCTTAGGGTAGTGAAAGAGACTCCTGTGCAGCAACTACTAAGTGCCTGGCATATTGTGCTTCAGAACCCTAAGGGCTGAATGCCACCATTTACTGTTCTACAGATGAGGAGACACAGGCACAAAAAGGGTCACTTACCTACCCAAAGTTAAACAGGAATGTTTGTTCAAGAAAAAGAATGGCAGCCAGTAATAGTTGGGTCAGGAAGGAGTGTCAGGGGAGAGTGGCACAGGTTAAGAGTGTCACCTGTCCATCTGAGGAAGAGCATCTCATTCTAAGTGTGATGGGAAACCCTTGGAAAATTTCTTTTGGTTGCTGTCCTGACATAATTATCAGTGGTGCACTTTATCTTCCACTCTGTCTCCTAGTTTGGAATAGATTATACATTTAAATGGTTACCTTAGTTCTATTTTGAGATGCCTGCTAGATAACTGAGCAGACATGTCAAACAGGCAAATGGCCAAGTCTGGAACTGTGAGAAGTCAGGGCGAGAGAGAGAGATTCAGGGATCATCTGTGTATCTATGATATTTAAAGCTGCAATTCTAAATGGGGTTGCCTAGAAATAGATTATAGATTTGTAGTAGTGGCTGGCCATGCCAGGGAAGAGTTGATCAAAATAAGAGGTCTGCCAAGAAAAGAGGGCATGGTCAATAATATTGAATGCCACAGAGTGGTCAACTAAGATACAGATAAGTGACCAATGGATTTGGCAACAAGGAAATCACTGGTGGGGGGTGCCTGGGTGGCTCAGCAGTTGAGCATCTGCCTTCGGCTCAGGGCGTGACCCCAGGGTTCTGGGATCGAGTCCCACTTCGGGCTTCCTGCAAGGAGCCTGCCTCTCTGTGCCTCTCATGAATAAATAAATCTTAAAAAAAAAAAAAAGGAAATCATTGGTTGGCCCTATCAGGAGTGATTGTGGTGCAATGAGAATGTAAGAAGACAACTGGAGCGGACTGCAAGGACAGGAGATGGCTAAGAGGCAGGGACTATATAAAGTTTTTCAAGAACTGCAAAGGGAAGCCAGAAAATGAAGGTTTTAAGATTAGGCATAATTTTTCTTTAAAGAAAGCAAATACCAGAAAGTGCTTCTATGCTGATAGGTATGACTCAGGAGAACGATGGAAGAGATGGAAAAACTGCAGGATTAATATCCTGCAGGGAGTGAAAGTGAACGGATGTTGGGTCAGAGCACTGGTCCACAGAACACGGGAATGGATGCAGGCAGGTTGATGGAGTAAGTGGCATGAGAGAACAGTTACTGCTAGGTTGCCTCTTTACACAGGGCAGTAGAATGGGGGAGGGGGTTACTGCAGGAGGGTTGGGAAGGAAGGTACGGGGTGATGGTTCTTAGTAAGAAAACGAACATACATGAGGGTATATGAGAAAGTTCGGCAGAGTTGAGTGGCCATTAATTTGAAAAAAGCTTAGTATACATCAGCAAAATTGAGGTGCTTAGGTGAAGGTATGGAAAACCAAAGGCAGTTTCAGTTATAGATACACATTTGTAGCTTACTCTGACTTAAGATTAAATTTTTAGAAAATACACATTCATGGCCAAACATGCAGTATCCAGACTTTATTTTCCCTTAGACCGAATCCTATTCCATAGTTTTTAGTCCTTGAACCTTTCTGCCTTTTTCCATAATTGCATTCTTATTCAGGTCTTTCTTCCTAGATAAAATTTTAAATATTCAAAGTCAACAACATAGCAAAGAGACAGCCTTACATAAAACACTAGAGTCAAATTTTACTTCATGGAAAAAGGCTCTAATAACAAAATTATTTCTTTTAAACAGTTTATAATGATACTAAATTCATTTCTCTGACAATGTATTTAGCTGCCAAAATAAATAGGATTACCTGTAAGATTTCCCGGGAACTCAAGTTAGCCTGGTAAATCCAGCGTATATAGTCAGCACTGAATGCCAACCGAAGAATAAAGGACTAGTTACTGAGTAGCCCCATTTCTGTTTCTGGTAATAAGCTTGGAGAGGTTGTGACTTACACGAATTTAAAAGTGGTAATAGGAAACTAACACTGAAAGCCTGTTTCGTATTTGTAAAAAGAGATACTTCTCTGGTTCTGATTAAATCAGATAATATATGGACAGCACCTGGCAGGTAAGTAGATACCCAGGGTATTACCAATTTTCTACCTTCCTCCAACCTGGTTCCCATCTTTTGCGTCACTTCTGTCCAGTGAGAGGTGCAAGTTGGTGCCACAGTTGCTTAGGACAGAGTAAGGTGCCTCCTACTTCATCAGATCCCAAACTGTAGACAATAATCACCTGTGGAGGAGGCTGTTAAGCTGCAGTCCTGGGCCCCACCCTGCAGAAACTGAGAAAGTTGGGGTAAAAACCTAAAAACCTGCACTTTTAATCTTCATCAGAGTTGTCTAAAATCTATTTGTATTTCATTGTGTTGGTATCAAAATACATACTTGAAGATGTTTACTCATGTTTGTGCATTAGTATCCAAAATTAAAAACTGACTTTGGAACTTACTGAACTATGTAACTAAAAATTTTAAGACTACCCTGTTTTTCAAATTTCCTTTATTTCCTTAGATCTTAATGAAACATTTCATCTTTTGCAGATCATAGTGCTTTATTAACAGACTTATGTATTCTTTTCCCATTCCTTTAATACAAAAAAAAAATTTATTCAATCACCAGTCATCTTCATCTGACATTTCACTAAGTACAGGATTCATAATGTCAACATTATTAGATCAGTCATTCAAGTGGGTCACACAAGTTCATCGGCATTGTGCCAAATACCCACTCAAAAGATACACTGAATAACAGATGCCTCCAGGTGTATGTATCAACCTTAGTTTCTTGAAGTGAACCAGGACTGTTTCACAGGTCAAACTGCCAGTCTACAGAAATAAGCTGGAAAAGACCCAAGTGTACGGCTATACATATTGAATGGTAAGTTCATTGCTACAAGAACCTCTATAACTGACTGTTCGTTTGTACACTTCTCTGCCATTCTTGCAAAAGCCTCCCCTGAATAAAGTTATAGTTCAGAGTTTAAAGCAAACTTGATGAGATAAAACGTACCAGGTGGCTTTTCTGTGGCAGAAATTACAACCATTTTTTCTCAAGCTATTTTAAAGACAAGCAAGGTTGAAAATAAATATGCAAGCACGCAGTAAACTAAGGTCTATATTTAGAAATTCAGGTACAAAGCACAGCAGAGCCTATGACTGTAGAAGATAAATTAGAAATATAAACTAGCAATGAAGCAATAATTTCTTTCAAATAGCAGGAAACAAATTCTCCAATACCATTATTTTAGATCACTGTTTAGTATTCATCTATTAACTTTGGAGTTTGTTTTAAAAATCCCTTTTGCTGATTATAACATTTGACCAGATATACCAAATAGACCTTAAATCATAGTACATGAAATAAACCACTTAATTTCTGATAAACTCAACAACTTTTTGTATATAATGATGGGCTCAAGAACCTTTGTAGGTTTGCTTAAGATCCCTACTGGTGTTTATGAAAGCTTTTAAAAGTTATGTTCTTATCCATTTGTTGTTCTACATTATTAATGTAAAACTCTTAGTGGTTTAGAAACAAACATTTAAGCCTTGCATGTTGGAGTGATCTGTTTTAAGTTCTCAAGGATGTATTCTGATTTACTCCAGAGCATCACCTCCTTTCCTCCCCTCCCTCACACTCTCTCACTCACACACATACACAATTCTGCAAAATGGAGGCAAATTTCCAGACTTCAGTATAAGGAAAACTAAGATTTTTTAGGCTTTGATTATAACCCTTAGTTAAGAGGAATGCCAAATGTATGTGCTACTTTTAAAATTTTTATGAAACAGAATATGAAATAAAAAGATGAATTCCAGGGGTCATATTCTTTGAGAATGAATGAGACATGATGAGACATCTTAACAAAACATGACACTTATCATCCATAATCAAAAATTTCAATTCCCTGCCTGAAGTTGACTTGGAAATGGTACAAAGTCTACGACTTCTTCAAAGGACCATAAGATAACATTTTAAAAGCCTGCAAAGCACTTATAGATATTTTACATTCAAAACTAATCTATGGAGCCCGTTTCATTCAATTTAAAAGTCAGTTCCCAAATATCTGTGGCTGCTTTTACTGTGTTTTTAAGAAGGGGATTTTAAGCCATCCTAGAGATAAAATTGGTGTGAAGAATTCTTTTTATATCTTAGATGCTTTAGGTGATTAAGAACTTAAAATTGTTACTCCTTAATATGAAACTTCCAAAACAGCTTATGACCAGCAAAGAAATGTTCCTTAGGCACTGTGAGGTGTACTAAGATGGAGCATGAAACCAGGTTGAAGCATACAGTTTGGTAACTACACTGATGGTTAACAAAACATTAACAAGCACTAACTTACTACCTTATCGCTGAGCGCAAGAAATGCCTTTACCCCACTACTCCTGAGATTCTTAAGAGGGAAAACTAATTTCACAAACAATTTTAAAAAGAATCCATATATAGTTCTAAGAACTGCACATGTTTAGGGTATTAGAAAAGATGTTTTCTTTTATAAGGCATCAATGATTAAATTAATGAAATGCATATCTAACAAAAGATGGTTAACACTCAGTATCATAAAACCATTTACTCTTTTAAATTTCTCTAATTCCTGCTACTTTTACCAGCTTAAATAAGAAAAGAATGCCTCTTGGCCTAATCAACTATGGTTATAAAAAAAACTAAGACATCTGAAACTATTAGGCACATCAAAGGTACAGTTTATGTAGTTCAAGGTTCCCTTCTTAAGGGGCAAATGAGTTACCTGGCACATTATACATATGGAACTGTAAAGATCATCAACTAAATTCAACTTTCACATTTTTTAGTTTAAACTGAAAGACTTCTAGTAAATATTCAAATATACCATATCTTCAGTTACAACTGAATAAGTGTAACATTTTACCAGATAAAAAGCTGGAATTTAAGTATGAGAAACCTTCATACACTGTGCTAGTATTGGTCTCTTCTTTTTAGACAAAAGCCAGTCATCAATACTTTCAACACAGCAGTTTAGAAGATAAACGTCCAAACAGGTGACTTGGTTGTAGTCCATAATTTAGCAATTCAATGCCACTGGCATCATAATGCTGTGGAGAGCAAGTGTATCTCCATATTTTAGTCAGATTTGTCTTTTTTCTTTCCTGTTAAGGGCACTTTGTTTACAACAGCAGACCCAACAGCTGTAACACCTCCAGCCACAGCAGACACGCCCCCTTTCACCAGCCCTATTCCCATGGAAGGCACAGTTGTAACAGCTGTCTTGGTCACCTCCAGACTCTTCCCACCAATCCAAGCCACACCACCAATGGTGGCACCAACGGCTCCCTTTGTAACACTGAAGATACCGCCAGTCACACGGGACAACATGCCTGGTTGCTGCTGTGGGTGATCTTTCATTGAACCTAGTGAGAGAAATACGAAGACAGTCAAATATTAAGTCTTTATAAGAGCAGTACAAATCATTAAGTATTCTAAGACTTCCTAACAATCAGGAGGTCGTTTTGATAAGGTGAACCACATAAATACAAATTTGATCAAGACACTAAAGAGCTCTTCCCTCAAGGCTATAGTCATGCATGTTTTTAAAATATCCTGGTCCAATGCTGTCTTGGTATCTGAGAAAAAATGCTTTGGGGACTATCATAAAATATTTTAAAACCTAAATTTAAATGTTTCCTTGATTTACAGTTTTGTTGTTATTAATAAAAATCTTTATATCCTAAAAGGAGCATGAAAAAATAAGAAGATAAATATATTTAGCCTTCATTTCCTTGACAGAATTCAGTCATTAGTCAAACAACCTTCTCCATTTAAAGCAGTGGTTCTCAAAGTTTTGTCTGGAACTGCTGGGGATCCAACAAGACCATTTCAGGGGCTCTGCAGGATAGAAATTATTTTCATAATAATATAACATGTCATCTATCCTTTCACTTTTATTCTTTCACATTCATTCACAAGTCTACAGAATTTTCCAGAATCTAAATGATGTGCAGTACTCAAGAGACCAAACATAGAAGCAGCTGAGAAATTAGCCGTCTTCTATTAGCCCTAACACTAAAGAGATGTGTAAAAATTTAAAAACAAGGTCACCCACCCTCTTCACATTTTTTGTTTTGTTTTTATCTGGATAGGTGTTTTTCACAATCTATGTTAATTGTGTTACTATGTAATGGGTCCACTGGAGTCTTTAATGAATAAAATATTTAATTTCCATTATTATTTATATGCCAAATATCAAC